CCGCCATTTAAGGGAAAAAATGACAAACCCTTTGCACCATGACTACCATAAGAATTTCCTGCCGTCAAATCGGATGGGTGTCCATGAGCAGTAAACCAGACAGCAATACCGATGTCATTGCTGCTGCAAGATTTTGTTGCAGTAAGAGGATTATAAATTCTCATGGGATGTTTTGCTCTCTCTTCCTAAAAAAGGGAATCAGACAAGCGACGAGACTGCGAGAATTGTCAACTCGATGACACGATTAGAAATAATGTGCTAACGTCAAGGTGAGGTCAAGCCAATTCCTCCTCCATGGGGGCAGTTTTATAAACTATGACATCTCCGTTATGTATTCCGTCTATGCTAGCATTCATTCACTTTCCATGTCACTCGCTATCGTATACGATGTTTGTAATTTAGATGCAAACTAGTGCCTGCACGAGTGTCTCAAATTGGAGATGAATCCTTTCAACATGGCGACTCTCCAATGTTTTGTGGCAACATTAACCAATGAACCTGGCTGGACATGCGTCCCTGCCACCTACTCTTCCTACAATCTTTGCCAACTTCTTTTCAAAATGCTTCTGAAGCCATTTAAGCAAACTGACGCTTTTTAACGCTTATTACCCAAGCTTAAACAAAACCATGTCAGCTGAACTGCGTACCTTTGTCTTCTACCACAATTTAATGTAGCTTTGATGTCGAATTTGTGAAGAACAGTAAGGCAAAATGCATTGCAGTCTGAATCAATTGATAATATTTCAATGAAGAGCTTATATTTGCGCATAAGTGCCATATCTGGATAGGGATGTATCTTTGCCACTGATGCTGCTGATAAGGGAATAATATGCATTCGTAAAGAAACTAAGACTGATATGATTCCATGGGCACCACACATTCAAACAAACTGGATAGAGTGTAAGGTTTCGACTGCATAATCCATTTTAGTGGATCATTTGCGTTATTTCAATGATAATTTGCTTCCACCTTCGAATCCCTTGCATTCCACCAAGTGTTGATTATTAAAGTACTCATCGAAAGAAGAAAAAAACGCCAAGTTGGATTATTGCTTTGCAACCATCATTTAAGGGCTTGGTTACTTCAATATCCCTCCTCCAACTGGTGTGCTAACAAATTGGTGAGTATGGTGCATCAAGCCCCATTAAAGGAACTTACTCAATTTGTCGAATCTGTTAAAATTTGGCTGTTGCGACTTGACCTCTAAAGGGATCGGGAGTGGTCAAGCTGGCCACTTAATAATGACCCAAAGAGAACGCACGTGTTTAAAACTCGTGTGCATCCAACAACAGTGAAAGGTTTTTCTGCTTTCATTTCTGATTTGTCTCAGTTGGGCTATTTAGTTATTAATGCCCTTCAAATTTGCTTTTTATGCTAGAAAGACGAACGATTAATTTTGTGCAGTTATGGCTCGGATTCGATATAGTGCAGTTCGATGGAGCAAATATTGTTGGTGTGCATATACGTGGTTCACGCCTTCATGAACTAATGTAATGGATTAAATGAAGTAAAACTGAGCGCGGATGAATTTCTGGAGGCGGCTGCCAAGTATGAGTGGGCCTAAACAAATTGCGAAACCTAAGTAGAATGCCACCTAGGCGAGTGTTAAATCAACGAAGGTTGTTGTGCTCTCGCGCCTCAATGCACATCGGAGAGAAATACATTCCAGTGCTTTAGAGCATCAAACCATTAGACTGCCATGCCCTTCCATGTAATATTTAAGAACTGATGTCGGCAATCTATTCGTAACAAGTAGCTATTAAACGTTAATAAATGTTAATTCACTTCTGAGACTAACGTACAAAGCCCACTTAAAGTAGCCAATTATGAGAAGTTTCCCCTCTCGCCCTCCTTGACGATTTTTGTGGTTTGGGATCCTAAGTAGAGCTTATTAGTGAAAGTGCAGAGATAATGCTAGAGATAATAAGACTGAAGTAGGATGTGCCGAGGCAGTGAATAAAACTGGCGGAGTTTCATTATTTTCGTGTAATTATTTATGTATTAAAGCAGAGAAGCACTTCTGTTTGTGCATTTTATGCCTCTGACTGGCGACATGACATAATCCTGCTAATTATACCTCGTTTATGAACATGCTAATGCCGCCGAAGAATGCTTCAGCTAATAAGTTTACTGTTCCAAGATACTGACGGGAGAAAAGAAGGAGAAGCTGAATGTCGAGCACATTATGCTAATGGTGGCTAAAAAGCCTAGAGTTAAGCCTCAGTTCAACTGCTCGACTGATGTAGGGGCCAGCACAACCCCAGACGCCGAATTGGATGAATGTTGTACTACCCTTGCTTAACTCGTTACTAATCACTGACCACTAAATTGCAGTAGGTCGGCGTGTGATCTGCAGAACACAAGAACACAGGACACAGAAATTTGACGAGAGCAGTGTGCACCGATTAGTATCCAGCGTTCCAGTGTTAATACGGCCTTTTATCTTCACTCGTAACCTGCTGTCTGCGATCGTGATGGCTAATGAGGCTGAAGGTGGCGCCTAGGGCATTGTGCTATCGCTTCCACATCTACCGACTTCATGACCTTCACCACACTCTAACTCTTCATTCTTCCAGTTCTCAGGTCATCAACTCGTGCGATCATCCTAACTCAG